GTTCTGCTCCATTTGCACCTTGCAGTTCATTGTCCCATCCCAGCTTTAGCCCCTGCAGTCCCACCCTGCTTGTTTTTCTCTCTCCAGCCCACGGGGTTTGTGCTCTGGGGCTGAGATTTGGATCATTTGTCCTTGGTGCCCAGCTGGAGCAGGAATTGTTTTGTCTCCCTGCTCTGTGCACAGAGCTCACCATCCCAGAATGTGAACCCAGACCCACACACTAAAGCAGCACAGAACCTGAAAAATAGAAAAGCTCAAACCTGAGGCATCAGGACTGCTGCAAAATCTGCTTCACAAACTCAGCTTGATTTAAGCTTTTACCTCTACCAAGTAACTGGAACCCAAAAGTTTGCAAAATTCACCCAAGAACCAACAGTTCTGTGAGGAAACTACATTAATAAAGTGTGCAGAGTAATAGAAGACTGGGGAGAAAGAATAAAAAGATGCTAAAATACACAGAATTTATTCCACCATGGGACTGTGACAAGTGTTACATATGTTGTTCACTTGGGTACAAGAGGAGACATCACTGAGATACAAAAACCAGAGCAGAGCAGCTCTGAACTGCTGAATTTGGACACAATCCCTACATAATTTCATTATTCTGAGTGCTAATGAAGCAAAAAGAGGAAAACAGTGAGGCACAGACTGTCAAAAACCATATTCCTGGAGCACAATTCCCTTCAGAACCGCACTCCAACCGCAGCAAACAGCAGGAATTAGGATTAGAATCCAGACATTGACACTTCCCATGAATGCCAACACTGAAAAAAGTTTGCTTTATGATTTGTGTGGCCCTTCTGGGTTTGCAGGGTTTTGTTGTAAAGAAACAAAAGTGAATTTGAGGAGGGGAGAGGGAAAAACACAAACCCAGCAAATGCAAACCCCCCCTCCCTGCACACACAGGCAACTCAAAGCCTTGCAGCCCAACCAATTCCTTTGCATTTATTATGGAAAAAAGCCCTAAATCCATGGAGTTAAATTCAGTGTTTTTAATTGCTAGCACAGCCATCAGTCCTTAGGTGAAGTTTTACAGATACATTAAATCCATTCCCCAAAGGCAGCAAGGTGCTTCAGCAAATACCCCTTTTTATTGGTACAGATATATTTACATTGTTTCATCTATTTTTTTTCCCTTGAAGCTACCTTGCCTTGAAAGGTATTTTCATTTCTAGCCAAGAAATAAACTGGGAAAGGCCTTCAAGTACAAAGGTTTTTGCTCATTTAAAATAATACAGATAATACATATAAAAAAAGTAAAACATGTTAGACACAAATGATTTATCAGTGATTTATTCAAGTTCCTCACTGTCTGTTGGTCATTTAAGATTTTTCTCAGCTCTTATTTTACTTGTGAGCCAGAGAAAAGAGCAAATTTCCTTTCTGGAATAAATAATTTTAAAGAGCTCTTGGTTTTTGTTCTACTGTCTGTAAGGCAGGGATGATGCTGATGCTTTGAGGATAAGAGAAAACAAGCAAATCTCCCATTTTGTAGATTATACATTTTTGGTTCACTTACTTATAAACCAAAACCCTGGGTAGTAATAAAAACTCTGGAGTCTCAGTGTAACTACCCCTGATTTTGGCCCTGGAAATTTAAAAACAAACCCTGAAGTTGAATCTCAAGTCCTACAACAGCCATGAATATGCATGGAAATATTTCAGAAACAATTGTCTCCAAATGTACCCTGAAATCAGGGTTCATTATAGTGTTAGCTGAGAGTTCAAATTTCCCACCCTCAAAGGAAGATTTATTCAGGATAAAGTGACTGCACATTTTCTTGGCTGACATAATGGACCTGGAATTTAAAAGCAGACTATGCCACCCCAGAACCAAGACATGGAAATCTGCTCTGAGCTGATTCTGCTCCAGCTACTGAATTACTCAAATGCACAAAAAAAATTCTGAGCCTGAGGAGTTTTTACTCAAGTTTTCAGATGAGCAAATGTGAGGGTGTAACAATTCCTAATGGGAATAATCACCACTGGGACAAATCTCATTCTTCAAGGAGCAAATCCTTGGTTTGAAATCTACTCTTGGTTTGAAACTCCCTGCAATAAAACACAATCCTGCCATTTATGTCTGAAAAATTATCCTTGGAGATGGCTGAAAGAGCAAATATTTGAGAGTATAAGGGAGAAGCTGCATTAAAGATCAGATCTCTGTGCTGGGAGCTGCCACTGAACATGTGGGTGCCAGACCCTGGGGCTCCCCTCCCCACAGAACTCTGAATTTCCCTCTCCATTTGTTCTGCAGCCCAGCAAGAGAAGCAGAAAAAACAAAGATGCTGGGGTTTGCTATCAATACTGACCTCTAAAGTTACATTCAGCATCAAGCTGTGTAGATTTAATTAAGCTTTTAACCAGCATTCTAATTGTTCTTCATCTAATTGCTCTTCAGTTGTTGTTGTTGTAGCAGAATTCTCCCTGCTAAGATCTAAAATCCTTAAAGATGGATAGGACCATCCATTATTCAGGCAGCAGAGCTTTCATCTGGATTTAAAATATAATAATTCCAGTTTGCTCATGTTTTGTTGGGTTTTTTTAATTCATGCAGCAAGACTGTGGTTTTAAGGTCTGTGAATTGGAAATTAAAACTTCAGAATGGGAATTCTGAGGAGGAAAAGAAAAAAAAATTCCAATCCACCCCTCAGGAACAGCTTCAAATTCCAATGCAAAAGGCACAAAGACCCACAGAGTGGAGAGGGACATCTTAAATTCTTAATAATCACATTCATATCAATTAGCAGCATAGGTTTGATGGGATTATTAACAGCATCTCAACAACGATGCAGAAAAACTCAGATTTTCTGGGAATTTCAGCAAAGTCAGGAGAAGCTCACAGAATAAAGTTTACAATTCTATTTGATGCCCAAAAGGTAGCAGGAAACAGGTCAGGTGAAAGCTCTGATAAAAGATGGAAGAGGCACCAAGGGAATCCCACAGAATTTACAGCTCTGCTGTAAATTGAAGAACTCCCCAAGCCAGCACTTGAAGCTGAAAGAATTTTAAAATTATCAAAAAAAAAAAAAAAAACAACCAAACCCACACAAAAAACAAAAACAAAAACAAAAACAAAAAAAAAAAAAAAAAAAAAAAAAAAAAAAAAACAAACAAAAAACACCAAAACCAACCAACCAAACAAAAAAACCACCCTCAGCTTCATTTTCTCTTAATGGAGTAAAAAACGCAGAGCAAACCCAATTATTATTTTTCCTCATAAGCAAAAGGAGCTTGGGGTTCCTAAAATTAATTAGAAAATCTGAGCAGGTGAGGGGAACCACACAATGGAAAGTCCAGTTTGGGGATGAGGAATCATTCCTGAGCTGCCGAGTCTCAGGAATATAAAAGTTTATATATAAAAATAAATATATAATATTTATAATATTATTATATAATAAATATATATAATATTATATATATAATATTATAAATATATATAATAATATATATTATATTATATATAATAGTATAAATATATAAATCATATATAATATTATTATATAATAAATATATAATAATAATATTAAAAAGAATATAAAAGAATATAAAAGAAATATATAAAAGTATTTCTCATTATTTTTGTATCTGTTAACAAGACCTTGAGTTTGCTTGATCATTATGTGACTCATTGTGGTATTTTTATTACAGGGAAGTCTAAGAAAACCATCCCAAAATCACTTGCTGGCAATAAAATTAAGGATTTCCTCCAATAATTCACATTTTTGGTATCTCCTGGCTCTCTGGGAAAGGAAGGAGGCCTAAGGAGAAAAATAAATAATGGATGGATGGGGAAAAATAAATAATTTGTGAGAAAGCTGAACTCTAAGACATTCATTATTTATGTTTATGTGCTCTCTCTTCATTAGGAACTGTTGTTGTTACAAGCTGCAATTTCCTTTTACACAAGATTCTGGAATTATATCAGGCCTAAAGGGAAAGACATTAAAACAACGACTACACACAGCAAAACTCCCATTAAATATGTGAATAAAACAATTACAATCACATGAAACCACAATTAATGAAATTTAGGAATAAAATAATTTATTAATAGAATTTATGGTTTAAATTTTAAAAACTAATTGTGGTATAAACTTTAACTAAAGGATAGGCAGTTAAAATATCTTAACTTGATGGTCTGCAACCCTGCAATATGCCACTAGATGGCAAGTTTGGATAGAAATTAACTGAATTTTAATTTATAACATGTTTGAGAAGTCCAAAGGCATTGGACAGAAACAATCATGAAAAAAAATAGTGAAAGAGGAGAACAAAAATAGGAAGAGTTCAATAAACAAGGCTTGTGTCTGGAGCACATCTAACACAACCAAAAAGGTTAAATGGGTTGCAGTTTTGTTTCCACATTGCCACACAAATGGAGAATCAATTCACACAAGATTTTGAAGTTATATTTTAAAGAAGAACAAGTGAAAATCCCTGTTTTAGACATTCCTGACAATTGTTCAGAGCAGGGTCCCACATGGAGGAGAGCAGCACCGAGAGCTGACATTTGAATTTCAAATATTCCCAGGAAATATTACAACAGCCTCAGGAATCAGGGATTGATTTCCCTGGGCCACCAGCCCCTTCCCATTCACTGCACTCTGCTCTTCACCATTTCTTATCTTGATTTAAAATTTGGAAATTTTATCTTGATTTAATTAGGAGCTTAATTTTTTATCTTGATTTTATATTTAAAAATAAATAAATCCTGTCTTTTAAAGCAGTTATTTCTGCAGCTCACTACAGCCTTCAAAAAGCACAGCATTAAAATTTTCTTAACAGAAACACAGAAATATAATAAAATTAAAAATATAATAAAATTAACCCTGCACAATTCCCCTGCGGTGAAATTCAGAATTCCTTCTAGCACAGACCAAACCTGATGGATTAAAAATGAAATTTTTTTTCCCTTACCTGAAATACCTGAAATGTTGAGAACTCTCCAGGCTTGAGGAGAACACTGAATTTCCCTGGCAGGGCAAATCCCAGCTTACCTCATCAGGAGAGAGCAGATAAATGGGAGTTAGCTCAGGGATTTCACTGGATCCACAGCTCAGCCCCAGGCAGGTCAGGATCTCCCTGAGAACTTCAAATCTCTTGGAATTGCTCATTTTGAGCAAATTAAAATCCTCCTCAGTCTGCACATCCATGGCGTTGCTGTCCAGCTCCAAATGGGCCTGGCAGGAGATAGAAAAAAAGAAAATCAGTTTTTAATTCAGGGATCACAACCATCAAGACACCAGAATTTCCTCTGGAACCCACCTAAAATTTCACTTCTTCAGAAACTTTTTCTGAAGGAGTCGACCAAACTTGTATTGACCAAGTTAAATTTAATGTGCTGCTTTTCAGGTCTGCCAGAACCAACAGCAAGATTGGGCATTTAATATTCTGTGCATGAACAGAATTGCAATTACAATTAAAATGGCATTATAACTGAAATTCCATTAAAACTGAAATTCCATCAAAACTGAAATTCTATCAAAAGTGAAATTCCATTAAAATTCCATCAAAACTGAAATTCCATCAAAACTGAAATTCTATCAAAAGTGAAATTCCATTAAAATTCCATCAAAACTGAAATTCCATCAAAACTGAAATTCCATCAAAATTATATTAAAATTGAAAGAGCTTTTTCGAAGTTGTTCAAGGTATGGAGAACTCAAGCAAGTCACATGAATTCAGTGGAAATCAGTGCAGATAAAGAATCCCTTCTGTGTAAAAAGTACTTTTTCACCTGGTAGAAAATCACTCCTCATGGCTGAAGCAGATGCTTAGAAGTTAAAATTAAATGCAAGAGGAAAAAATCCTCCATAAACCTCCTTTTTGGCTCTTTTTTCCTGCTTTTCCAAGATATTTCAAAGCCTTTGTATGTTGGAACCTTGAATTTTGGGCTTTCTGTGCTGCCAGGCACTGACCCCCAGAGAACACTGCACTGACCTGAGGGCCTGGAGAAGCTTCCAAAATTCAAGAATAAAACTGAGATTAAAGGTGTGGAGTTGGAATAGAAGTGTGTGAGATCACAGGGTGGGAAACTCAGAGTTTAAGGGTTTAGAATACAGGAATAGAGAGAAAGCAAGATGGAGGGTTTAGGGTGGAGGCTGCTCCTTCTCCTTCACCTTCTCCTCCATGGGTTTGGGTGGTTTTGTGCAATTGGATAAAAAAGTCCCCATTGTGGGCACGGGTGGTTGGGTATTGGGTTAAAAGTGAAAATAATTGAGGTGTCATTTGTTAATTGGACAGTTTATCCTTCAAAGGCCTTGGAGAGAGAGACAGGGCTCCATTTTTAGTTTGTTGGAGTGAAGTGCTGCAGAACTCAGGGTTTGTGAGACTGTGACAGAGATAAGAACTGATCAACATCTGAGTGCCAACAAGAAATACCCTCTCACACATTTAATCACAACCTTGGCAAAGAAAAACTCCAAAGAATCCACACTTGTACTCTCTGCAGATTGATTGATTGCTATTAAATACAGCCCTTCTTTTTGTTCATTCCTTCCATTTTGCAAAATTTCATTATGTTCTTTGTGTTTTACCTATTTTCACTGGAATTCAGGGAAATGAATGAGTGTGGCTGCCCCTGGATCCCTGGCAGTGCCCAAGGCCAGGCTGGACACTGGGGCTGGAGCAGCCTGGGACAGTGGGAGGTGTCCCTGCCATGGCAGGGCTGGGATGGGATAATTTTAAGATCCTTTCCAACCCAAACCAACTCCATGATTGTAAAATAAACACATTAAAAAGGAGGCAGGACACACCCACCCACCAGAGGAGTGCAGAAGAAAGAGAAACAAATCTGCCAGAATAGTTCCTGGCTGATGTCACTGCCTGCAAACAACGAGGGCTTTTCAAATCCAGACTGGAAGTCATTGAGAATTATAAAATGTCCCACTAATGCTTTTAATCTGATTTTTGAAGCTGTGCTCTGATGCCCTTTTCTTTTTCCTGGGAAAAACCTCTGGAGTATCAAGTTTTACTGCAGCAGGAGGATCAATTGAAAGGGTGCAGCAAAGCACAACTTGCAGGGACAGAATCAAATCCATTTTCTGGCTGGCAGAGCTGCCTACAAAAAAAAAAAGCAATAAATATCCTCCAAGGTCTAACAGAGCTCCCAAAAACCCAGCAGATCTAAGCTAATCAAAGACAAAAACACTTCTGAGAAGCCCCTGAATATTTCTGAGCTCTGTAACTGCTACCAGACTCTTGCTACCTGACCCCTGAGCAGTTAAAATTTCAGTGCTCTGGGCTGCTGAGAAAGTTCCCCACCTAAAATATTGGTACAAAAATAGAATCTTTCATGAAGTGGGTTCATCTTTCATATTCCTTTACTTAATCTTGGAAAACTCATCTTGCTCTGCTTTTCTCAATTATTTATTTGCTAAACTTCGTGGTACCTCTCATCAGCCTTTCCACCACCCAAAACTTTAGCTGGGAATATTTAAATAATTTCAACCATCAGTGACCAACATTTACCCTCCCATGGAAGCTTCCTCACCCATTATCCAGAAGGTAAAGTGAAGAGAAAAAAAAAGGAAAAAAAAATATTATGAACACTTGACCTTTATCTGTTTGGTCTTTTTGGGGTGGGGTGGTTTTTGTTTATTTGTTTGTTTGGGGTTTGTTTTGTTTTGCTTTGTTTTTTGGGGTTTGGTGGGGTTTTTTTGGGTTTTTTTTGTTATTGTTTGTTTGAGGGTTTTCTTTGGCTGTTTTGGTGGTTTTTTAACCAGAGATCACAATATCATTATACTGGAGAGACACTTATACTGTGGGATATTATTTTTAAGTGGAATTAATGGTTTTGGCTCATCCTAGACTACCCCAATTCCACCCCCAGATTCCCTGAGCTATTTGATAGCTGCAGAATATTAAACATTTCAACCTTTAAAAGCCTGAATAAGGACTCAGGAAACAAAAAAAAAGTTTCCAGCAAAGTTTATTCTGCACTTCCTGCTTTGCCACAATTCCTATTTTTGTAAGGCTTTTGTGGGATTTATTTCCCACCTCCCAAAATCTGCTCCAGCTGTATTCCTGTACCACCTCCAGCAGGCAGAGAGGGAAAGCTCTGCTCTGGAATAGGAGAAAATCCCAGAACAATTTGGGGTTGGAAGGGACCTCTGGAGATGTGATCCATTCCAACCCCTGCTCAGGCAGGGTCACCTGGAGCAGGTGACACAGGAAGTGTCCAGGTGGGTCTGGAATGTCCCAGACTCCATCACCTCCCTGGGCAGCTGTTCCATGGAAGGGAATTCCTCCTCAAGTGGAGCTGGAACTTTCTGGGCTTTGGTTTGTGGCCACTGCTCCCTGTGCTGCCACTGGGCACCCCTGGGAGCTCTGGCACCCCTTGGAGGCATTTCCTTGGATTAATGAGTGAAATTCCTGCTTCCTGCACAAAACTTGGCTTTACCTTGCCTGATCCATGGCAAAAATAAGAGAATGTTTTCCCAGCAGTGACATTCCCCTTCTTTAACACCAAGGGAAACCCACCCTGCACTTGGACCCCTGCACATCCATTTACACCTGGGAATGGCTCCCACTGGGAAAGGGGAGATTTGGGTGGGATATGGGGAAGGAATTCCTGGCTGGGAGGGTGGGCAGGGACTGGCATGGAGTTCCCAGTGGAGGTGTGAAGCCCCTGGATCCCTGGCAGTGCCCAAGGCCAGGCTGGACACTGGGGCTGGAGCAGCCTGGGACAGTGGGAGGTGTCCCTGCCATGGCAGGGGTGGCACTGGGTGAGTTTCAGGATATTCCTGTGCTGGGAGGAAAGGCTGGCACAGCTGGGATTGTTCACCTGCACAGGAGAAGCTTTGGGCTGAGCTCAGGGTGGCCTTGCAGGGCCTGCAGGAGCCCCAGGAAAGCTGGAGAGAGACAATTTCCAGGGGATGCAGGGACAGCACCCAGGGAATGGCTTCACACTGAAAAATTACAGGTTTAGATCAGGTATTAGGAACAATTTCCTCCCTGACAGGAGGGGCAGGTGTCGCAGACATCTTTCATGAAAAATCCTTTCTTAGGATTTTTCCTTGTGAGAAGCTGCAGTTTCAGCAACCAAAAGTAACCAATGGTTATCTGCTGCTGTAGAATGCAACAGGTAGACCTGGGATTGGTCTCCTGTGGGTGTTTGGATTTCCTGACCACTCATGGCAGAGCTGGCTCTTGCTCTGTCTGACACACAGATCTTTGTTATTCATTCTTGTCTATTCTTAGCTTAGCTAGCTGCTGAAGAAACCTTTTCCTTTCTATTTCTTTTTAGTATAATCTTAATGTAACATATATTATAAAAAAATAAATCAAGCCTTCTGATTGTGGAGTCAACATTCTCGTCTCTTCTTCATCCTGAAAACCCTTGTGACCACAGTCACAGGCAGGGGCTGGGATGGAATTCCCAGAGCAGCTGGGGCTGCCCCTGGATCCCTGGCAGTGCCCAAGGCCAGGCTGGACACTGGGGCTGGAGCAGCCTGGGACAGTGGGAGGTGTTCCTCTGTCACCAAATGGAACAAAATGATTTTTCTGGAACAAAATGATTTTTCAGTTCCCTCCCAGCCCAAACCATTCCATGCTTGCACACCTGCCCTTGACAGGAACCCCCAATGAACACACAATAGGAACAATCTTTAGGATTGCAGCCCAGGCAGCAATGAGGAAATGCATGCCCACAGTACCTGGGAAAGGATGGCTTCTCCTCCACTGCTCCCATGGCTCAGCTGCACAATCACCGTGTCCTCAGCAGCACTGCTCAGTCGACTCAACACCTTCACTCTGCTGCCATCTCCCTTCATCCCCTCCTCAAAAACGCAGCCACTGAGCAGCAGGTTCAGCTTCACCTCCGTGCTGTCCCTTTTAGTCACCACCAGCTCGTGCACCGCCCTCCTCAGTTTGTTCTTGTGCTTTATCTGCACGCCCCCAAAGGTGAAGGACGAAGAAAGCCCAAGAATCTTCCCCCCTTTGGACAGGAATTTCATGAACTGTCTGTGGATGCCCTCGGGGATGGGTTCCTCTGTGGCAATGAGCAGCAGCAGGGAATTCTCCACCCAGGGGTCCCTGAGCACCTGCTCCTGGTGCAGCTGGTACAGGGTGTAGCTCTCAGCATCGATGCACTCCCTCAGCACTGCTTTCACCTGCTCAAACCTCCCTTTGGCAGCCTCAGAGCCCAGGTAAATCAGGACATTAGGGGGTTTTCCAGCCAGGTTGATTCTTTTGATTCCTTTCTGCAGGCATTGGTGCTCCTTCTCCTCCTGCCCTGTGCTGCTGCAGTCCCGGGGCAGCTCGGGGATGCTCTCTGCAGAGGCGCATTTCACCGACTCGATGGTGCTGTTCTCCAGCTGCAGGCACTCGTGGCAGCTGGAAAGGTGCAGGTGGTGCTGCTCCCCACCTCCTGTTTCCTCATCTTCCCTTTCTTCTTCCAGCTGGGATCTGTCCTCCTCAGCTTGCCCTAACCCTGATTTCCCAGCAGGAGTTACTGCATCCATGTCCGCGCTTTCCTCTTCCGCCGACGGTGCCTCCTTTGCCAGCTCCTTCAGAGCAGACTCCTCTAAATGGACAGCTGCAAAAGGTAAAGATACCAAAAAAAGGGTTCAAATAACGAGATTACCAGGGTTAGGATAAGTATCATTAACAGCAGAATTCAGTTTCAGTACAAATTCCCTGTAACAGCAAGAATTTCACTTATTTGACGCAACAAATCCTATTTCCCCCCAGGACAACAGAGATTTGCACCCATACCATAAATCTAAAGACAAAATGAAAAAGAGAAAATACCTCTGGAAAAGTACAGCTCTTCTAATTAGGGCAGGGTTTAAAAGTGCTGCTGTTTTGAAAGCAACTGTTTTGAAATAAGCTAATAAAGTGATGGTGTTGGGCAAGACAGATATTGAACCACGTCCCTTGCACTGCTGCAGGCTGCAGATAAAGGTTTGGCACGAGAAAAGGGAGTAAAAAAGAGATTTGAACAGATTTCAGGCTGCAGAAAGGCAGAGAGATCCAGCACAGCAAGATCTGGGAGCTAAGAATCCAAGGGAAAACAAGAAAATAGGAAGAACTGTTAAAAATTTCCCTTTTCCCCTGAAAATGACAGAAATGGCAAGATAATTTGGAGCAAATACAACTGAGAAGAGAAGAGCAAAGATGATTATTACCAGCAAGAAATGTGCAGAGCAAAGAGGAGAGAAAAGACACTCATCACAAGGGAGGGCTTCAAGGCAAAATCTGAAACATTTTCCTGAATCCTTCCCCGCTCACACACAACTAAATCAATTTATTGTGCTCTTAATCCAGGGAGAAACTTGATTAACAACATTTTGTTAATCCAACTTCAACCCCTTTCCTTATTATGAAATTACACCCCCTTTGGAGCAGAAACATGAAGCAAGATTTAGGGTTTTTTTTGGTATCCCAAGGGAATTTCAGTTTCCAACCTCTGTTATTCCATCCAGAGCCTCCCCCAGCCTGTTCTGGAGCAGCTTCCACAGAGCACTGGAAGCAAAAGGAGGCAGAAAACATTTTAAAAAGGGACAGACTTGGGACATTCTCAGCTGTCAGCCTTCCTTGGGGGAATATTTATGCAGAACAGCACCAGGAGAGACAGAATTTCCCATCAGATTCTTTTGGGAGAATATTCCTGTCCTCCTGCACTTCAGCTAAATGTTGTTGATTTTGGCATTCCTTCATTTCTGCCTGTGCACTGTGATCTACATTAAATGAAACAGCAAAGCAAAAACAAACCCCATAAAAAAGGCCAAAAAAAAAAAAATCCCACCTCAAATTGTTTTCAATCCACGTTCAGCTTTAAATATATGTTAATTTCAAATATGTAAAAAAAAAAGAGAACATTTGCCTAAAAACTTTCAGTTTGGATTTTCAAAAATAGATTTGTTAATCTAACAGACAAGATTTAAAGAAAGTATTTTCTATCTTCTGGTTTGGAGCACCCTTTGGATGGTGGAAGGGTCCCAGCCCACAGCAGGGGTTGGGAATGGATAATTTTTAAGGCTCCTTCCAACCCAAACCCTTCCAAATCCTCCAAAAAAAAATTAAAGCAGAGCTACAGAGGGACCAACCTGGAATCCCCACAGGAAAAAAAACCACTGCCAAAAAAAAAAAAAGGAAGATTTTCAGGTGGGTACAAAAAATATGCACAAAGTCCTAAAATAAGCATAAATCAAGGATGTTGTGGCATGAGAAATGATCAGGAGGGTACTTACAAACAATCCTGTGTGGCACCATCCCGTTCTCCATCTGCAGCCTGTCTTCCAGGAAGGCTACTCCAAGGCTACTGAAATTATCTACACTGGCTTCAGCAATTAACTTAAAAGGTTCACCAGGTTTATAGGCCAAGGGTGAACAAAAGTCTGACCACTTGACAATCTAGAACAGAGCATATGGATGGCTTTCAGTTGGGAAAATTGTGGAGAAACCCCTAAGCAGCAACAATTTTGTGAGTTTGCAAGAGGAATGCGGGAGAATTGAAGAATTTACTGACAGGGGTTTGCTTTAGGCAGCAAAGATTGAGCCCTGACAAAAGAGGAAAATATCCACACCAAGGAATCATTCCCAAAGAGCAAGGCTCTAAAAGCTCCAAGCAACAAAATGGCAGCAGAGCTGTAAGAAAAATTCTGTTTGGATTTGTTTCCTTCAGCACAAACTCCAAGCAAGAATGCTGATGAAAAGAACAAAATTCAGCTACAAGGGTTTATTAACTACAAGGTGCATCCACAGGCTCGTGCAGGCAGCTGAAATGAATTTCTTCCTTGGCCATTCCCAGGGAATTCTTCATCCCCAGGTCAATTCTGAGTGCATTTGGAATCAAGGCTGCAGGTAGATTGGGTAAAAAATTAAAGTTAAGCTCTGCAGAAGGGACATTTACAGGCAGCAGTGATAAAAGTGGGCAGATGTATTTTAAAAATTCATTGTGTCATAAATTAATAAGTTAATTAATGACCACACTCAGCATTCTGCTTTCAACAGGTGTGATGATGGTGCATTTTTTACAAGAAACTCAAAAACTCTTCAGCCCTTTGAGAGGTTGTGGTGAGGGACAAAGAGCTCAGGGTGGGAAACCAAATGTGGGGAAATCTCACAGGCTGCAAATCTTAAACTCCTCAAATCTTAAACACCTCAAATCTTGAACTCCTCATTTTAATAAAAAATTATCAGAAGCATTAACTAAACCATGAGGGTTGAAGATGTTTATCTACATCAAAAATTCCTTTTTCCAGGAAGGAAACAATGCACAAGTAGGAGACACAACTGGATCCACAAACCACTTGCTCTCCCATGAAAGAATTTTTAGAGACCTGCCTTCATGACCTAAAAAAGTCAAAAAATCAGCCTTTGCCATGCTCCAGAACATGGGGAGACAAAGTGCAGCTCCCTCAGAGCAGCTGCAGCACTTGGACACTTCCATGAGTTCAGCTTTTCACCCCCATACACCAGATGTAAAACACTGATTAAAGGAAGGAAAATCCTATTTTGGATGCACGAACTGAGGGTGAGCTGTCAGTTATTCTGCTTGTTCATAATTAGACCATCAGCTAAATTTATCTTTCTTTTCTGCAATTAAATGGTTTACACACCACCCAAGGGAATCCAGCGGCAGCTTTTGATGTTGTGGAATTTCCCAAGGGAACAAGGGGACAGAACCAACAACCCCAGTGGTTCTGTCTCCTTTCTAAGTCATTCTCAGAGACAATTTCTGCTGAGTAATCAACAAACCCAAATGAGACCATTCAGTCACAGAATACCAGAATGGTTTGGGTTGGAGGAACCTTAAAAATTATCCCAGAGCCACCCCAGCCATGGCAGGGACACCTCCCACTGTCCCAGGCTGCTCCAATGTCCCCAGTGTCCAGCCTGGCCTTGGGCACTGCCAGGGATCCAGGGATGGAATTCCATCCCAGCCCTGCCCACCCTGCCAGGGAAGGATTTTTCCCCACTATCTGATGCTGATTTAAAATGGATTTGTTATTTTCCTGAAGTGTTTCTGGCTCTGCTGCATTGGGCTTGTGTTGAGATTTTCTCTGAAAGTGACCAAATTTGAGCATTTTTACAGCATCTTAGAATCATGGAATGGGTTGGGCTGGGAGGGACCTTTAAAAGTCACCCAGTGCCACCCCTGCCATTGATGCCTCAGGTTTAGCTTTTATTATTTTCACATTCTGTGCTGCTTTAGTGTGTGGGTCTGGGTTCACATTCTGGGATGGTGAGCTCTGTGCACAGAGCAGGGAGACAAAACAATTCCTGCTCCAGCTGGGCACCAAGGCCAAATGATCCAAATCTCAGCCCCAGAGCACAAACCCCGTGGGCTGGAGAGAGAAAAACAAGCAGGGTGGGACTGCAGGGGCTAAAGCTGGGATGGGACAATGAACTGCAAGATGCAAATGGAGCAGAACTGATCCCAGGGACAGAGCCCGTGCCCGGCCGTGCATTTTGGGGCCATTTTGGTTCATCTTGGGTGCAGCCCTGGCTGGGCTCTGGTGCTGCCCAAGGTGCATCCATGGAGGAGATGCTTTGAATCAATCCCTGCTTTATTCTGTAGCTCTGCCCTGCCTCTGCTCTCTGCCTCACCAAGGGCAGGGACACCTCCCACTGTCCCAGGCTGCTCCAGCCCCAGTGTCCAACCTGGCCTTGGGATCCAGGGGCAGCCCCAGCTGCTCTGGGAATTCCATCCCAGCCTCTCTCCACCTTCCCAGGGAACAATTTCTTCCTAATATCTGATCTAAACCTGTAATTTTTCAGTGTGAAGCCATTCCCTGGGTGCTGTCCCTGCATCCCCTGGAAATTGTCTCTCTCCAGCTTTCCTGGGGCTCCTGCAGGCCCTGCAAGGCCACCCTGAGCTCAGCCCAGAGCTTCTCCTGTGCAGGTGAACAATCCCAGCTGTGCCAGCCTTTCCTCCCAGCAGAGCTGCTCCATCCCTCTGCCCATCCTGGAGCCTCCTCTGGGCTCTCTGCAGCAGCTCCAGCTCCTCCCTGGGCTGGGCCCAGGCCTAGGCCCAGCTCTGCAGGTGGGCTCTCAATCCATGTTTCTATTTCTGGCCTTTGGATATCTAACAATAAACCTGGCTGGGTATCTTGTGATCCATGATTTCTGCTAACCCTTAGTGAAAAAATTCCCTTTCCCAGAGGAAAAGGGGAGCAGAGTGTGGGGTTTCACCCCCAAGTTCAAGGTGGTGAAGCCCCACCAGAGGTGCCCCAGCTTCCCTGCCTGTGGTGGAGGGTGAAGGATTTACAGAGTATTTAAACATCATTTCCTGCCCAAAGAACAGGCACAAGTAACACCCACACCTGGAGGCTGTCAGGAAGTTCTGCTGATGCTCTCGATGTTTCTTCTCCAAGTAAAATCTCAGATGTAAAATGTGATTATTGCTGCACAGTGCAAACAAAGCGAACCCACAGAAGCAGCTCACAAAGCAAAGCTCTTGCCAAAAGCTGTGACCCTGAAATCAGGCAGCAATCCATTGGCTCAGAGCAGAGCAAAAACCCTCAGGGAGTATTTTCCAGCTTTCCTGTTGCAATTCCAAATCAAAATTCTGTCAGCAAAAAGGATGAAAGGCCAGCACTCAGCAAGAGATGGGACATTATTCAAACTCCTGTTGTCTGAGTCCCCCTCATTCTCACCAGCCACAGATCACTGATACTCCTACAGAAAAATGGCTTTTTTGGCCAGAAATTCCCCCAAGAGCAATGAGTTCCCACAGGCCCTGGATGTGGTGACAGCCAGAGGTAACAAAATTAAGAGAACTTTACTGTGTTCACACAGAAGAGCAATAAACAAAATAAACCAGCAGAGCTGGTTTCCTTTTCCTCTTTAGTTTTCATTTTTTGCCTGGACTATAATTTTTGAGCTTTCTAAATCAAATTAATTAGTAATGTCCACGTAAGGATGCAAAATCTTCCATCCTAAGGAAAACAAAAGCCAACCCAAGAAGACTAAAAATCTCCAATAAACCCCAAAAGAATAGATAATTACAGCTTCAATGCAGGTGGTTTTGTGGATCTTTCTGCTACAAAAAGTAAAAGATAAAGAAAAATCTTCCACCTCAGCTGGCCCAGGTGTACAAGAGTCCCTCCTCATTCTCACCAGCCACAGGTCACTGATACTCCTACCAAAAAATGGCTTTTTTGGCCAGAATTTCCCCCAAGAGCAATGTGTGCCCCACAGCCCCTGGCTATGGTGACAGCCAGAGCTGGTTTTTAACCAAAATTAAGAGCACTTTATTGTATTCACACAGAAGAGCAGTAAACAAAATAAACCAGCAGTCCCTGTCCTCTTTAGTTTTGATTTTTTTTGCCTGGACTATAATTTTTGAACTTTCTAAATCAAATTAATTACTAATGTCCACGTAAGAATGCAAAATTTTCCATCCTAAGGAAAACAAAAGCTAACCCAAGAAGACTAAAAATCTCCAATAAACCCCAAAAGAATAGATAATTAGAGCTTCAATGCAGGTGTTTCTGTGGATCTTTCTGCTACACAAAGTAAAAACAAAATAAAAATCTTCCACCTGAGCTGGCCCAGGTGTACAAGAGTCCCTCCTCATTCTCACCAGCCACAGGTCACTGATATTCCTACAAAAAAATGGCTTTTTTGGCCAGAATTTCCCCAAGAGCAATGAGTTCCTACAGGCCCTGGCTATGGTGACAGCCAGAGCTGGTTTTTAACCAAAATTAAGAGCACTTTATTGTATTCACACAGAAGAGCAATAAACAAAATAAACCAGCAGTCCCTGTCCTCTTTAGTTTTGATTTTTTTTTTGCCTGGACTATAATTTTTGAGCTTTCTAAATCAAATTAATTATTAATGTCCACGTAGGAATGCAAAATTTTCCATCCTAAGGAAAACTCCAATAAACCCCAAAAGAATAGATAATTAGAGCTTCAATGCAGGTGGTTTTGTGGATCTTTCTGCTACAAAAAGTAAAAATAAAATAAAAATCTTCCACCTCAGCTGGCCCAGGTGTACAAGAGTCCCTCCTCATTCTCACCAGCCACAGATCACTGATACTCCTACCAAAAAATGGCTTTTTTGGCCAGAATTTCCCCCAAGAGCAATGAGTTCCCACAGGCCCTGGATGTGGTGACAGCCAGAGCTGGTTTTTAACCAAAATTAAGAGCACTTTATTGTATTCAGACAGAAGAACAATAAGCAAAATAAACCAGCAGCCCCTGTCCTCTTTAGTTTTGATTTTTTTTTTGCCTGGACTATAATTTTTGAACTTTCTAAATCAAATTAATTATTAATGTCCATGTAAGAATGCAAAATTTTCCATCCTAAGGAAAACAAAAGCCAACCCAAGAAGATTTAAAAACTCCAATAAACCCCAAAAGAATAGATAATTAGAGCTTCAATGCAGGTGTTTTTGTGGATCTTTCTGCTACAAAAAGTAAAAACAAAATAAAAATCTTCCACCCAGGTGTACAAGAGGGAGGGCACAGCTCATTTATCTCCTGAAGCAGAGCCCACCTGCATGGATTCCACCTGCCAAAGGCAATAAAACCATTCCCAAAGCAGCTGCTGCAGGTTTTCCACAAGGAAATTGCTGGTAGTATTGTTTATCATAGGGTGAAAAATTTAACAGTTTTGGGTTTTTAGTATGGAGGTGGATAGAAGACAAAACAGAGGCTTTTGGATGGTGTTTGATCTTTTTCTTCTTCTTCATCTGCTTTATTTTCTATTGTGGTGGGGGTATAGAGTGATTAGTTAGGGAGAGCTGTAATACAGATGTTGTGTGGCAGGCAAATAATTTGTTATTGGTAGAAAAAAGTAGAAATAAAGCACATTTTAAGAGTTAATTAGATAAAATAGCTTTAAAAGACCTTGCAACTGTACATTTTGTGACTTTTCTTGCTGCCTTCTCTTTGTGTGCTAAGTCTAGTGTAGAACCTCTGATAAGATAAAAAATAAACAACAACTTGAAGACTAAAAAACTCTTTTACACAGATCCTCACCCAGGGAAGCAGCCAGGCCTGGATGTGATGTCCTGGAACACCAAGGATGTGGAATTTTGGTGAAGGAGCCTGAAATTTCCTGATTGCAGGAAATAAGGGTGACAGGTGGCCCTTCAGGGACACCCAGGCCAGGGTGGGAAGTGGATTTGTAGAGAATTCTTGAAGTTTGACAGAGGGTTCTGTATGTAAACTTTGAGAGAAGAAATGCTGACTTTAGGGTTTTAAAATAAAATAAAATTAAAATTAAGGTTTCAAATTGAATTAAGCCCTTTTAATGCTGCTTGAAAAAATCTCTACAAATCCACTTCCCACCCTTATCCATGGCTCCAGGGGTGATCCCAGCCTGGGATCATGGAGAGCTCTGGGATTCCAGCAGCAGCCCAGATGTTTTATTGAAGCCTCCAGATACATCCTGACATGGACATTTTCCCTTTCCTCCTCTTCCCTGGGGGCACTGAGATCCATCCCTCCCCTCCCAAAGCCTTCCATGGCCTCAAGGGGGCTGCACAAAAAGCAGGAGAAGGATTTTCCACTGTCCCAGGCTGCTCCAAACCCAGTGTCCAGCCTGGCCTTGGGCACTGCCAGGGATCCAGGGGCAGCCCCAGCTGCTCTGGGAATTCCATCCCAGACAGGAATTCCTTCCCAATAATTCCTTCCCAATAATTCCTTCCCAATAATTTGGGTGGGAATTCCTTCCCACCCAAATCTCCCCTTTCCCAGTGGGAGCCATTCCCTGTCACATTCAGGTTTTCTGAAAAATCCCTTTCACCCAGGATTTTCTCCTGGGAAGCTGAGAGGCCTCAGAGAAAAAGGAAAGCAGTAATTATCTCATTTTCTTCTCTGTTTTGCTGCTTTGGAATGTGTTTGGAGATTGTTCACCCACAGGTGATTGTTCCATTGGATTCTGCTGGGAGTTGTTTTCACTCTTTGGCCAATCAGGGCCAAGCTGTGCCAGGACTCTGGAGAGTTTTCATTATTATCTTTTATCCTTCTCTAAGTATCCTTTCTGTATTCTTTAGTACAGTTTAGTATAGCATTCTTTAATATATTTTTAGTATAATAAAATGATAAATCAGCCTCCTGAGAGCATGGAGCCAGGTTCATCATTCCTCCCTGCCATGGGGCACCCCACAAACCCAATAATTCCCTGTGTCCTGTCACTCCATTCCTTGCCCAGAGCTGCTCTCCTGGAGCCCCTTCAGGCTCTGAGCTCCCCCTGGAGCCTTTTCTTCCCCAGGCTGAACAATCCCAAGTTCTCCCAGCCTGGCTCCAGAACAGGAGGGGCAATGCCCACCCACAGCCAGAGAAAAATGCTCCTGAAAATCTCAACAAAATACCTCTGGGTCTGTTTGAAACACAAAATAGAGTTTAATTATTGAGTGATCTGAATGAAGCAACTCCCTTTTTATTCCCCATAACATCACAACACATCTGTGCCTCCTTCTGTGCAAGAATATTGAATATCTGTCCCCCTTTCTATATAATAATTTTGAATATCTGTACCCCTTTCCATGCAAGAATATTGAATATCTGTACCCCTTTCTATACTAGAACATTGAATGTCTGTGCCCCTTTCTATGCAAGAATATTGAATATCTGTCCCCTTTTCTATGCAAGAATATGGAATATCTGTCCCCCTTTCTGTGCAAAAATATTGAATATCTGTACCCCTTTCTATGCAACAATATTGAATATCTGTGCCCCTTCCTATGCAAGAATATTAAATATCTGTATACCCCTTTCTATACAAGAATATTGAATTTCTGTGCCTCTTTCTAGGCAAGAACATTGAATATCTGTACCCCTTTTCCATGCAAGAATATTGAATATCTGTCCCCCTTTCTATGCAAGAATATTGAATATCTGTATCTCCTTCCTATGGAAGAATATTGATTGTCTCCCATTCTATACAATAATACTGAATATCTGTATACCTCTTTCTATGCAAGAATATTGAATATCTATATCCCTTTTCTATGCAAGAATATTGAATATCTGTCCCCCTTTCTACACAAGAATATTGAATATTTGTACCCCTTTCTATACTAGAACATTGAATATCTGTACCCCTTTCTATGCAACAATATTGAATATCTGTATCTCCTTCCTATGGAAGAATATTGATTATCTCCCATTCTATACAATAATACTGAATATCTGTATACCTCTTTCTATCCAAGAACATTGAACATCTGTACCCCCTTTCTATGCAAGAACATTGAACATCTGTACCCCTTTCTATGCAAGAATATTGAATATCTATATCCCTTTTCTATGAAAGAATATTGAATATCTGTACCCCTTCCTATGCAAGAACATTGAATATCTGTACCCCTTTCTATGCAAGAATATTAAATACCTGCCCCCCTTTCTATACAAGAATATTAAATACCTGTCCCCCTTTCTATACTAGAACATTGAACATCTGTCCCCCTTTCTATGCAACAATATTGAATATCTGTGCCCCTTTCTATGCAAGAGTATTGAATATCTGTATCTCCTTCCTATGCAAGAATATTATCTCCCTTTCTATACAATAATACTGAATATCTGTACCCCTTTCTATGCAAGAATATTGAACATCTGTCCCCTTTTCTATGAAAGAATATTGAATATCTGTACCCCCTTCTATGCAAAAATATTGAATATCAGTATACCCCTTTCTATACAAGAATATTGAATATCTGTACCCCTTTCCATACAAGAATATTGAATATTTGTATCCTTTTCTACACAAGAATATTAAATACTTGTCCCCCTTTCTATACTAGAACATTGAATATCTGTCCCCCTTTCTATGCAACAATATCGAATATCTGTGCCCCTTTCTATGCACGAACATTGAATATTTGTACCCCCTTTCTATGCAAGAATATTGAATATCTGTACCCCTTTCTGTGCAAGAACATTGAATATCTGTCCCCCTTTCTATACAAGAATATTGAATATTTGTACCCCCTTTCTATACAAGAATATTGAATATCTTGCCTTTCTAGGCAAGAGCATTCAATATCTGTGCCCCTTTCTATACAAGAATATTAAATGTCTGTCCCCCTTTTCTATGCAAAAACAAAGATATTTTCTCACCTCCTTGGAAGAGTCAGGTGCTTTCTGCAAGTGCTCTGGGTGAGCAGAAATGCTTTCTGTCACAAAAGCAATGTGCTCTGCTGGCAGCAGCCTCTCAGCGTGAGCAAAGGGAGAAACCAGCAGCCCCCTCCACCTGTTTAAGTCATCAAGGAACTGAAAGAAATGGGAAAGGAGAGTAAGTCTGAGCAGGAAACAACTGATTTAAGAATTCCTGTTTAAATTATGCCCAGCTTAAATTCAAATCCGAGCCTCCAGCCTTACGGGAAGGGCGATGATGATTTCACTTTCCCCACGAGACAAAGGAGGGGATAAAGCTGTGAACTGTTAAAAGGAACACTAAAAGTGAAACTGGAAGTGCCAAGGCGGGTTTGTGCAGCCAGCTCAAACTCCAGCTCTCAGCTTCACAGGAAGGGAGGGTGGAACACAAACCCCTGAGCCCCTGGCACTGGGACCCTTGGGGGACATTTGCCACTGGCAGCATCCCCCATTCACCTCTCCTCCTCTCCCAGCCACACTGAGCACTGAATCCTCAGTCATTCAACAAAATTCCTCATTCACTATGAATCTCATCAAATAGAAACAAATCCTTCATTCAGAATAAATTTTTCCGTAAGTTGTTCCATCCACCACTCAGCAGAACACTGCACAAAAGTTTCTTCATTAAATTACAAAAGATTCCCTCTCTTGCCTTCAGCAAGGAGCAAATAAAGCTCAAAACCTGGAATCAGCAGATCAAAAAACACATTTGAGACACCTCACAGCTTCTCAGGAGAATATTACATCCATTGTTAATTTTCACATTCATTTTGCATTGAACTTCATTTGTCTGATATATTTTAAAAAGGGCAAACATTAGAAACAACTGGTTTGCTGTGGGAAATAGTAAAGGTAAAAGATTTTTAGAAAGCTGTGAAAGGAGGCTTTAGAAACAGAAAGAGTAGAGAACTTAGAGTTAACTGTAAAATCTGAAAGTAGAAAAGTTACAACAGTACAGTAAGCAAGGACATGGAACAATGAGAGAACTCAAAACATGAAACAATTGAGACAACTCAACTCAGTTTGAGTTTTAGGTTTGGTTAAGACAGATTTTAAGACTGCAGAAAATATGTTTAGTAAGATAGGAGAAGGTTTTAAGTTTAATAATTGTGTATTGTTAATAGGAAGTATATAAGAAGGTATTGTTTGAAGTAGGTGTGGTTTTAGTGATTAACTAGAATAATTATCTGTAAGTTTTGGTCATATGTTATTGGTTAAAAAGTTTTTAAAATGTTCTATTACAAAGAATTTTTTTTGGTTGCTGTTAGTAAGAAGTGAGCTGTTGTTATCTTTTAATTGTCTTAACGTAATGTGATGTAATAAATCTCAAAGAACATATTTTAGTAGTCTTGTCTTGTTTGTCAACTCCCTAAAAATCCCCTTACCTTCACTATTTCCCACATTTCCCTTCTGCACACACCTGCAGTAATTCCATGTGGAAGCAGGAGGGAATTCCCCCGTGGCTCTGGATTCCAGCACTCAGTGTGCTCATCCCTGCCCAGCCCAGAATACTGAGGGGGCAGCTCACTGACCCAGCCACCCCGGAGAGCACAGAAGCTGCACAAACAAACACTGCTTTCTCCCACATGAAAGTGAACTCAGCTCAGGAAGCTTTAAAGTACCTTAAACATCCCCTCTGGCTAAAGATCAAACCAAAAAAAAATCCCTTTACAGGTTATGATTTAGGACTTGCAGTATCTTAAGCAAGCTACTGATCACAGTCCAAGCTACTGAGAGAGAAAAGGAGCTTTGCTGGCTGCCCAGAAGCCAAAAAAAAAAAATCTGAATTAACCTTTAATCTCTTCAGAGATGATGTAAAGAGCTCCCCAGTGATGCAGAGCCAGAGCTCTCACACTGAAGTGCAGCACAACAGGACCTGCCCCAGGGATTTTCAATTGCTGTCACCACATATTTTAAAGAGACAAAAATACATTGAATTACAGCCCTGAGTCTGTGCCAAACTTCATGCCAAGCTGCAATTCCCCAGAGGGCTTCCCAGCTCCCAATAAACACCAATAAACCCAGCAGATTATAAAATCAGTCTGCATGAACAGCACTGCAGACAGAAAAAAATGTGCTGGCAGTGCAAGGGCTGAGGAGAAGCTGTTTCAGAAATGAGCAGGAGTGGAGCAAAGAGCAGAAACCAGCTGAAATCCTCTTCACAGAACAATAATCCAGGGCAAGTGAGGCAGAACTCCTCCAAACACAGCTTTGTTTTGTTTTGGGGGGCTTTATTGGAATGTGAATTAGGTATTTCACTTGGCTGGGGAAGGTTCTGAGACTGCCACCATCGCTCTTGAGTGTGAAATAATCTGTTAATAAATAGCAAAAAACCTAGTTTTAAATAGAACCAACTCCATCAGCATTTCTAATCTTGTTTTCCCTCAAATGCAAATGGTCTTTTTACCCACTGAACTTACAAAAAGCTTCCCTGCTTCCTGAAGAGCACTTAGCCACTGACGTGCTCCATAAATCCCTGCAACAACTGAAATAATCCTCAACCACTCACGCACCAACAGCAGCAAAAAGCACAAAGACCAAGAAGAGCCTCACCCAGACCAATTCTGGCATTTAGTGCCAAATTCAGAGAAATCCACCGTCCATTTAAATAATTCAGACGAGCTGGGGGCAGTGCCAGCTCCACTCCTGATCCTGAGAGTCAAGCAAGCTCGCTTTCAGTTCTGCTCCCAGCAGTGCCACGTGGAGCTGCTTCAGGCACAGGGCTTTTCCACCCTCACGGGCTGCCACAGCCTCCCCCAGCCCTGCTCATTTGTGATTTTCATTTTGCACCTCATTTTCCTCACTTAGAACCACATTTTGTGTGGGGAGAAGCAGCCAGCTCTCTGCAGTTCACATTCCTGGGCAGATCCAGCAGCGTTTTAAAGCCCTGACACAAATCCTGAAGGCACAAGCACAGCACATATTTTTAGACTAAAGCCTTACATGTTCTCCAAGTATGTTGCTGAAATGAAAGAGGCTTTTCCCAGGGACAGGATGAGGAGGAAATGTCCTTAAACTGAAAGGGAGCAGGTTTGGATGGGATATCAGGAGGGAAATCTTCCCTGGGAAGGAGGGGAGGCCCTGGCACAGGGTGCCCAGAGCAGCTGGGGCTGCTGCAAGTGCCCAAGGTCAGCTTGGACGGGGCATGGAGCCCATGGCAGGGGGTTGGAACACGATGATCTTCAAGCAACCCAAACCATTCTGTGATTTTATGGAATTCTCTCAAGCTCTCCCAGCCAAGCTTTCCTAGAACTACTGCTGCACTTGCAAAGCTGCACTTAATACACATACATAAATATATACATATATATATATATATAGAGAGAGAGAGAGAGAGAGATACAAATACACATTTGTAGCACACAGAGCACCCCTCAGCCCATTTCCTATTCCTCTATATATACACATTTCCTATATATATATATATACATATATATATTTCCTATTTCCTATATATACATACATTCCTATAGATATATTTCCTATTTCCTATATATATATATATATATTTCCTTTATATATATATTCCTATATAGATATATTTCCTATTTCTGAGATATATACATATATATATTGACATACACATTTGTAGCACACAGAGCATCTCTCAGCCCATTTCCTATTCCCATATATATACACATTTCCTATATATATATATATATACATTCCCATGTATAAATATTTCCTATTTCCTCTATATATTTACATATATATACACACATACAAATACACATTTGTAGCACACAGAGCATCTCTCAGCCCATTTCCTATTTAAACAAGCTCCGGCAAGCAGCGAGGAGAGGGAACCACACCTGAACTAACATTTCCCACCAAAGCGACCACCCGGCTGTCCCCTCCTCCTTCCCCTGGCTCTGACACCACGTGGGAATTCTCTCCGCGCGTTGTTTTTTCTAATCCCAAACCCCTGCCCGCCACCAACCCCGTGGTTGAAGAACCAAACCACAACCCCGTCCCCGCGGGGCCGGGATGCTCGTCCCCGTTACCGCGGCAACCGCGCCCCCCGCCGCATCCCCGTTACCGCGGCAACCGCCGCGCCTCCCCGCGCATCCCCGCGGCTCTACCTGCGCCTCGCCGGTGCAGAACACCTTGCCGCCGACGCGGAGGCAGACGCGCTCGTCGGGGTGCGGCTGGCGGGCGCAGAAGGTGAAGGAGCAGCGGGAGCGGTGCAGCCTCCGCACGGTGCTGCGGACGAGCGCGGCCGAGCGCGGCCCCCAGCGCGCCCACAGGTACAGGTAGCACAGCGTGATCAGCATGGCGGGCGCGCGGCCACGCCCCCCGCCGCCCGCCCCGGCCAATCGAAGCGCCGTGCGTCAGGGAGGGCGGGTGGCGGTCACAGCGCTGATTGGCTGGCGGGGGCTGGCGCGCGCGGCGCCCCGCCCCTTTGGCAGCGCCGCGTCTCTCCCCTCCTCCTCCCCTCAGCGCTCGGCCGTGAGGGCGCCGCCTGCTCCTCACGCTGAGGGGAACGCGGAGTTCCGCGGTGGAAGGAGGTGTGAAAAGAAATAAAGAGCGCTCAAAATCGCTCCAAGCGGCTCGGGGCGTGGGTTAGTTGTAGGCGTGCTCTGGAGGAGGAAGAGGAGGAGGAGGAGCAGGCGAGGTCTTCTCGTCGCCGGCGCCACGACCCGGCTGCTCTGGGAATGGCAGAATGGTTTTGGTGAAAAGGGACTTAAAGCTAATCGAGCTCCACCCTCTGCCATGGCAGGGACACCTTCCACTGTCCCAGGCTGCTCTAAGCCCCAATGTCCAACCTGGCCTTGGGCACTGCCAGGGATCCAGGGGCAGCCAAAGCTGCTCTGGGAATTCTATTCCAGGGCCTGCCCACCCTGCCAGGGAAGGATTTTTTTCCCAACATTCCACCTAAACCTGTAATGTTTCAGTGTGAAGCCATTCCCTGGGTGCTGTCTCTGCATGCCCTGGAAATTGTCTCTCTCCAGCTTTCCTGGGGCTCCTGCAGGCCCTGCAAGGCCACCCTGAGCTCAGCCCAAAGCTTCTCCTGTGCAGGTGAACAATCCCAGCTGTGCCAGCCTTTCCTCCCAGCAGAGCTGCTCCATCCCTCTGCCCATCCTGGAGCCTCCTCTGGGCTCTCTGCAGCAGCTCCAGCTCCTCCCTGGGCTGGGCCCAGCTCTGCAGGTGGGGAATCACCTGAGGGAGCTCAGGGACAGAATTCCCCCCTCACCTGCTGCTCCCGCCATTTGTGATGGAGCCTAGGATAAATCTTCTGCTTCTCCAAAGCTCAAACTATCCTGATGGACAACAGGAAAGTGTGAAAAACGCCAATCACTTGGTTTTTTGTTTGTTTGTTTGTTTATTTAATCGTAATAAATTTTTTATAAAAATAGCAATATAATGAGAGTAATAAACATTTGGACAATTGCGATTGGTACCTGGACTGTCCATAACTCCATATATTGAGTTGAGACAATAAAAACAAAGAGTTATGGACAGTCCAGGTACCTTTTCTGGGCAAAATAACCCCAAAAAGGACAAATGTTAACAGAGGATTAACCCTTAAAAGCAGCAGCCTGTTGCATATTCATCCATGATGCATATCTCATCCATGATGCATAAATTCCATTCAAACACAGGATTCTGTCTGGGCAGTGTCAGCTCCTTCCTCTTAATCCCAGCAGCGTCTTCAGGGCTGAACAAGGCAGGAAGAAATTCACTTCTTCTGATAATGGGGCAATAAATTCTTTCTCTGAAAGATTGAAGTGTCCTGTGGCCGTTATCTGCTGCGAGTTCTTTCTTTAGAAAACGCGTCCCACACAGCATAGTCTCCATTCCAACCTTATGTTATAACCTAAAACTATATTTAACCCACTACTGAAGAGAATTAATACAGCATAACTTTCTAACACAACACATATAATAATCATTTTAATATTTGCAAAAAGCCAATCATCAAATACCCATTTTTCACAAAAGTATCTCATCTTCCTCAGAAATGACATGACACTTCTACCTGACCTTCTTCCCAGAGTGATGGTGTCCTCCTAAAGGCACAGTGTTCCTTTTTATATCCCACACAGGACCAGCAGAAGACACCTGTCCCCAGTTCCCACTGCTGCAGCCACCAAAGCCACAAATGGATGCATTCAATTCCAGCCAGAAATGCATTTAAACCCAATTCATTGGATTCACCAAGTGACATCAGAGTGAGGAACAGCCTGGCAGGGAATCAAGCTGCAGGATTTGCACGTGCCCTGCGTGCTGGCAAACACAAATTGCTCCTCCAGGACACACAACAGACAGCAAGTTAGCCTTAACTCCTCCAATAGAGCAATGCACCAAAGTTAGCAAATACTTTCTGTATTTTCTGGGGAAAGGAATCTCAACAACAGCTCTGGGAAAGGAAGCGTGGATCAGTCTGATCCTAGCAGACACTTGGTGTGTGAGGGAAAAGAGAAGATTAAAAAAAGATGCAAAATGCAAGGCCACAAGAAGGAAGCCAACACCTGCATCAACAGATACGTGACACTTGTTTCCTGAACAAGTTGGGCAGGAAGCCACAACCTTTTTTTTATTATTATTATTCTGAACTCAAGGTCTTGTTCTGCACTTGGAAATTCAGTGCAATGGGTATTTCAAAATAACAATTTTATCCCTAAGTGTGTCTCTAGCAGTAGATAAACAAGGAACAAATTGGCTCTGCTCTCACATTTCAAGTGAAAGGAGGAGAGGAAATGGTTTTCAGTTGTGCCAGGGGATGTTCAGTGTGAAAAATACGTATTTTATGACTGGCTTTCCACAAGTTTCAAATGAATATTATATATGTCATGTTAGAAAGTAATGCTGTATTAATTCTCTTCAGTAGTGTGTTAAATATAGTTTTAGGTTATAACAAAATATTAAAACAGAAACCATGCTATGTAGGATACTTTTTCTAAGGAAAGGACTTGCAGGGAAAGAGCAGCCACAGGACACCTGAATCTGTCAGAGAAAGAGAATTTATTGTTCATTAATCAGAAGAAACAAACTTCTTCCTGCCTTGCTCAGCCCTGAAGAGCTGTCAGGATTCACAGGAAGGAGCAGACACTGCCCAGCCAGAATCCTGTGTGTGAATGGAATTTATGCATCATGGATGAGGAGTATGAATAGGCAACAGGCTGTTGCTTTTAAGGGTTAATCCTCTGTTAACCGTGGGTCATTTTTGGGGTTATTTTGCCCAGAAAGAGGTACCCAGACTGTCCATAACTCTTTGTTCTTATTGTCTCATATTGTCCTAATCCCAATTGTTCAAATTTTTATTACTCTCATTATATTGCTATTTTTATAACCATTTTATTATTATTAAACTTTAAAAATTTTAAAAACAAAGTGATTGGTGTTTTTCACATTGAGGAAATGTTTTTTCCCTGGCAGAGTGGTCAGGCCTTGGGCTGAGCTGCCCAGGGAGGTTTGGGGTCACTGGAATTGTCCCAGAGCAGTCTGGATGTGGCCTTGGGGACAGGGATTGGGGTGATGCCGGTGGCATTGGGTGATCCTGGAGGGCTCTCCCAGCCCTGAGGATTCTGTGACTGTGGACTTGAACACCTCCAGGGATGGGATGCAATATTTCCACAACTCATGGCACAAACAGATCACACTTTCACTGGTGAGGCCAAAGATTTCAAACAATTCTTCATCTCAAGCTTCAGAAACACCAACCTGGTGCTGCAGCCATATCCTGCCCTGCACAGAGAGGAAGGAATCTCCACGTTAACAGAGGATTAACCCTTAAAAGAACAGCCTGTTGCATATTCATACACCTCATCCATGATGCATAAATTCCATTCAAACACAGGATTCTGGCTGGGCAGTGTCAACTTCTTCTTCTTAGTCCTGACAACCTCCTCAAGGCTGAGAGATGTGGGAAGAAGTTCCTTTCTTCTGATAATGGAGCAATAAATTATTTTTCAGTGAAAGATTGAGGTGGCCTGTGGCTGCTATCTCAGTGGGAGTACCTCATTCCTCTCTTAAAAAAAAATATCTTACATGGCATAGTTTCTATTTTATCATTATGTTATAACCTAAAACTATATTTAACACACTACTTGAGAAAATGGATACAGCACCAATCACTTGGGTTAGAGTTTTAAACGTTTAATGGCAATAACATGCTTATAAAAATGGCAATGTAATGAGAGTAGTAAAAATGTGGACAGTTGGGATTTAGGACAATATGAGGCAATAAGAACAAAGAGTTAAGGACAGTCTGGGTACCTCTTTCTGGGCAAAATAACCCCAAAAAGGACCCACGTTAACAGAGGATTAACCCTTAAAAGAACAGCCTGTTGCCTATTCACACACCTCACACATGATGCATAAATTCCATTCACACACAGGATTCTGTCTGGGCAGTGTCAACTTCTTCTTCTTAATCCTGACAACCTCCTCAAGGCTGGGAGATGTGGGAAGTTCGTTTCTCCTGAACATGGAGCAATAAATTCTCTTTCTCTGAAAGATTTAGGTGTCCTGTGGCTGCTACCTTGGTGGGAGTACCTCATTCCTCTCTTTTTAAAAAAGTATCTTACATAGCACAGTTTCTATTTTAACCTTATGTTATAACCTAAAACTATATTTAACACACTACTTGAGAAAATGGATACAGCATCACTCTCTAACACAACACATACAATATTCACTTGAATATTTGCAAAAAGCCAATCACCAAATGCCCATTTTTCACACCAGCCTTGTGCTGCTGCCACAGCCTGCGCTGCACAGAGAGGAGCAAATCCCCAGTGCCCCTCACTGACAGCTCTCACTGCTCCTTTGTGTGACCTCCTCCCGTGCGGGCAGCCCCAGTGCTTGCCTGGGCACATCACAGGAGAGCGAACCAGCCCCAAGGGAGCTCTGTGCTCTGGAATTCGCTTTGCTGCTGAGCTCGGGTGCGCGGCTGAGCCCCCGGCGCGCTCAGAGCTCGGTGGGAGCTTTGCACAGGCAGGAAGGGGCCGCGCTGCCGCTCCTGCTCTGCCGTGGGGAGCGCTCAGCTCCACTGGGAGCGTGTCCTGATGGCTGCGAGAAACACCAAGCACTGGGTTAGAGTTTTAAACGTTTAATGGCAATAACATGGTATAAAAATGGTAATGTAATGAGAGTAGTAAAAATGTGGACAGTTGGGATTTAGGACAATATGAGACAATAAGAACAAAGAGTTAAGGACAGTCTGGGTACCTCTTTCTGGGCAAAATAACCCCAAAAAGGCCCCACGTTAACAGAGGATTAACCCTTAAAAGCACAGCCTGTTGCCTATTCATACACCTCACACATGATG